CATACAAAGACAACTGTGGGCAATCCATAGATGTTGCACGAATTACACGTGTTTCCTACCACGTTGGAGGTCTCACCAGCGAAAGCAGAGGTGGGGGGGTCATGGTTTGCGGTGGTGTGGGGCAAGGGAAATTTATATAATGGTGTTCAGTCATGCTCGACTGGATCTAGAATTCAGTACCTTTTGCATCCTTTTGCAGGTTTCTTGTGATTGGTTTATATAAATCTATCACTGTGAAAAACACGGAGTCGAGCTGCACATTCCAAAAATAAACGGTTGTGTCGCCTCCCTTGTTGCAAGAGACTTTGCAAGACCGCTGTCGCGAGGTCCTGCGATCCCACCGCCAACTCCAAAAACAGTCAGTGTTCATCATTTTTCGGAGTTTCCATGTATCACAAAACATCACAAAACCATTGTGTTTGTTGTTTTTTTCGGGGATGACGTATGTAGTGCACTCCTTGGCCAATGGGGTTCGAGGATTAAGCAGGCAATGGTCCTTTGAGTGACTTCGACGCATTATAGTAATGCTGCACACCCTCACACCCTAGCGAAGCCTCGGCCAAACATTAGCTTAGAATCCATACCATGAAGGATCCTGCATTAGTTATATACATTATACAGTACTGAGTTTATGGAACTCCTGCAATATGTTAAGATATTGCATGACTACAAAGATTCTGTGAGACGACCCTATTGATTGGGTTCTTTTTGCTGTGAGGCAGCTGGAGAGGAGGAAGGAGAAGGGGAAGAAGAGGATGTGGAAGAGGAGGAACAGGAGAGACGCCGCCGCAAAGTCGTGTCCATTCATCGAGCGGCTCGAGACCTCAAACATCCTCAAACCATGCAGACTTACTGCCAGATAGGTCTAAAAGAAGTCATTTCTGCGTCATGTCTTGAAGTGTGAAAGAAGGATACCCATAAAATCCCATATGTTTTGTATCAATAAGTCACTTCAATGTGAAGTGATGTGAGACGTTTGCCCTCCTCTTCTGGCAGGAAGAAGACCCCTTGGTGGATGAGGTGCTCAATGGGTCTGGAAGAGATGAGCGAACACTCCATGATATGGCCGGAAACTCACCTAACTTCACTAACTCACTAAGTGACCATGCAAATTTATGCAATTTTTTTCCAGCTCTTCCAATTGGTAGATATTGTAGGGTCCTAATCTGGCCACAACTAGCTAGCAGAACACAGCACAGCGGCAGGGTCACTCCCTGTGAGCTTGCAGATGTGATTTGGATGGGGTTCGGGTTCAATTCAGTCTTGGTGGTTAAATGCGGACGGGGAGGGGCATGCCTCCCCTTTTAGATGAGGCACTTAAAAACGAGTTTTGTGTACCTTGAACATCTCGAAGAAGAGCCAGGTGCCGGCGCATGGGGAAGCAAAAAACAAAGATGAGAAGGAGACTGGAGCTCGCAAAGCCACTGAAGATGAAGCCAGAGTGGAGAGGAAAAAGCGTGAAGAAGAAGCGGAAAGGCATGCACGTGAAGCTGCCGACCGAGAAGCCAAGGAAAAGGAGGCTCGAGAACGTGAAGAAGCTGAGCGGCGTGCAGAACGCGAGGCGAAAGAGCTTGAAGCCAAGCGAAAAGCCAAAGAAAGAGAGGTCAGAGAACGTGAAGAGGCCGAAAAAGCCGAACAAGAGGCTAGGGAACGTGAAGCCAGAGAACGTGAAGAGCGACAAGCCAAAGAGAGGGACACCAGAGATTTGGAAGCGAAGCATGCAGGAAAAGGAGCCAAAGATGCTCCAGAAAAGAAGCGGAGCTCATCATCACATAAGGACGGCTTTGGAAGCATTGCATCACAGGGTTCTGTTTGCCGTATTCTCTGGTGCCAGACCCCAAGCGATGATTTTTAGGAAGATTTTGGAAGTACTGTATATAAGACGTAATTTATGTTTTTTTTTCTTGCACAACACGGTCTTTGCGTGCTCGACTGGTTTTGCGGCCATCGTCAGTCCATGGGGTCATCAATGGTCATCAGGACTTTTCAAACATCGGCCCTGACCCATTTGTTTGAGAAATGACCACCCTGATTAAGCAAGTATGTCAGTCACTGTTGTCAGTCCATCAACCACGGACCATGGAGTGTTTGGGTGCGTAAAACCTTATGGGTTTAGGTTGAGGCCATGGACGTGTGGGCGTTCCGAACCCCCAAGAATAGGCCAAGAATCCTGTCCCATGCTGCATAGCATAAACGTTGATGAGGGGATGCGGATCGTAGATGCCAGGCACAGATTCTTCTTTGGTATTCGCCACTCCATGGGACTGCCATATATGCTTACATTGACCCCCCCAAACCACCCCAATGTAGGCATATATGGCATAGATGGAGTGTCTGGGTTCTTTGGTCATGTTTGGTCAGCATGGGCTGCACATGAAAAACAATTATTCGGTACATGACCGAACCAATGGGGGTATACAATTGTGCTTGGCAGCCAAGCATCGACCTGCCCAAAACGCACACGTTCTTCGGATTTGTATGGATTTGTGTTGTTTTGTTTCGCAGACAAAGGGTTCGTTGTCGAGTTTGAACTGAGTGTCATCGATTTAGTTGCATCTTTCTTTCGCGGAAGTCCGGAGACCAACCGAGCTCAGTTGCTTCTTTGGGGTCGTTCAATGTCGTTCAACTTACCCTGCTCGACCGGTCTGTGAACACAAAGATCTGCAAGCGCTTCCTAAACATCCGCTGCGTTAGGGTGGAAAGGCCCGTGGCTGACCAAACGCCCGTAGCACTGTGTATAAACGCCCGTGAACAATCCGAAAGCTAGAGAGACATCCGCAGACTCAAATATAAGGCAATGACAGATGGTTTTCACGCCGCAGATAACATGAAAAAACACACTGAGGAAGTTCCAGGTATCTTTGATCCTGCTTCGGAAGTTCGCGGGTTGGAGGCTTTTCAGAAGGTGCGCATACTGGCCAGTCAGGGTACCCCATTTGTTCCTTTGTGATCGATCGGTTTTCGGTTTTTATCATTTCATGTCCATTGAAAAGATCCAACCTGAACTGCTATGTAAGCTATGTATTTTTGATTGATCAGCCCACTAGTCCCATGTGCTATAGTTTTGCAACTCCCACCAGAGCCACACCACAAGGCCCCCCCTTCTCCGTTGAGGACCTGGTCTCAACACGCTCTCCACTGCATGGCAGGTGGGAGCAGTGTCACTCCATGTCACTCCTTACGTCTCGACGTAAAGACTTGTTCATTCTCCAGTAGCCCTGCTCTTAATGTCCGTTCTTTCCAAGTGGTAATATCGGGTGGTGACCTGGAACGACAAGAACAGGGGCCCAAGCAATGTCAGGACGTCCAGTGTGAAACAGCTTCTGAGGCTCCAGGCCTTTCGGAACTGAGAAACCCCCAGTGGAGACCGACCCCGAAGTTTCACAGGAACAAAGGACGCATCAGACCAAACCCATGGGTTGGAGGGTCTCCTCAAAAAATTAGACAACACCTAATTCCTCGTAGCGTCTCACAGCCTCATAAGCTTAAGTCACCAGTGATCCAGTGACAAGTCAGCGTTTTTTTTGTTTTTTGCGTGAAACACATAAATTCTCAAGCACTATCACGCACGAAGTTCTCAGGGGAAATTTCTACTTCTGAAGCTATTTCAGGACCCTCAGGATGCTCTCCCTGTAGTTCATCCGCAGCTCGGAGTTTGCAGGGTCAGCTCCTACCTCCGGAAGACCTCCGAGGCCCGGGAGCGTGGATTGGTGCAACCAATCACGCTCGGCATTTACAAGAAGGCCATGTAAAAGCCATTTAGTGGTCCCCTGAAAAGATAGTAAATAGTCCAATACATGTCTATAGTGGGGATCTACTGTTTTATCATGTTCTATCTGTTTGGGGGTCTAAATGGAAAAGCCAGCAAAGCTGAGAAATCCTTTGGTTGGCTTGCAGTCAGTTGTTGGTTGCCCACGGCAAACCCGTGGGATCCCACAGGGATCCCCACAGGGATCCGAGAAGTCCATGACCGGTACAGCTAGTGTTGCTGATCAGCTATTGGTGCACGTTGAACTTCACGGAAAGTGGGAAGACGGGGGTTCTTGAAGAACTGCAACAAGGTGAGTTGGCAGTGGGCAGTTCTTCAAATGTGTCCCTGTCAAAAAAAGCAGCTCACAGTGATGAGGTGCCGTTGTTGCATTTTGGTTCAGACATGCTGCATGCCTTTAAGTGCGCCGTGCCCGTTGCTCAGGCGGACGCGAAGAGAAGAAGCTTTTCAGGGGTTGCCGGGATCACAGCGCGATGTATCAGGGTGTTTGATTTGGGTCGTTTCGGTGACAGACAGGTGAACAATATGTACAGTGGTTTCAGAGTAGATGGGCACCATTTTTGACAGTCGGTGGATGTCGGTGGTTTATTCGAACGCCCATATAAAGGACATTTTTGGGTGTCAGTGCCATCGAGCCTCTGAAACCACTGTAATTGAGTGAACATCCTTTTAGCCGATCTCTTTGTGTCTTCTTGACACCGAAAAGATCCAGGTGAAGGAACATGGAGGTCAGAAGTCATTTGACATGGAGGTGCGTTTGCCAAGTGCAAAGAAATACACATAAAGAGGACGTAGTGATATACAGAGCATATGGTTCCAGAAGTCGGGCTTTTGCAACCTGCTCCTCCTGGGATGTGGCCATGGGTGACATCTAGAAAGAAGATAACGGCGCCTTTTCGCCACCTTCGGCTCCATGGGATTGTGAAGGGGAGTATGACACGGATCACAGCGGATTCGAATCCTTGCGAGGGTGAACGGGTTGATTTTTCTACCCCATCAAATCCGGTTTTTGAGAGACCAAGGGCCGTGAAAGCGTTAACGGTGTCGGTTTGGGACGCTTAAATTACAAAGTTTCATTGGAGGGTTGTATTGTCAGGCCCATTTTTGTGCGACCACGGACTGGTGTGCTTTCATAGGGTTCTGGTAACCTCTGCCAGGAGCTCAAGAGCACAATGTTCACCAGTCACCAGACTCAGGATGCGCAGCCTCGCACGGATCGGAATGACGAGCCATGGAGTTGGGCCTCGATGATTTGGAATGCACTTCAGAAGCTTTGAGGGCCTGGAGTCCCTTGCGTCACTTGGATCATTTTGGATCCATTCCTGAAACCGGACAAGAAATTTGATGGATGAGAGGGATGAAAAATGCTGGATTTGTAGTCCAAACACATCACATAAAAGATCAAGGTGCACATAACAACAATCTGGCTCTCGTCGTAACTTGTCATGTGTTAGGGTTACTAGTTACTAGTAGCTGGCATTGCTAATAGGAACAAGCAGTTACGAACATAACTTCAGGGCATGGGCTACGAACGGAGCAAGAATGCTTAAGAGTTTGATCTTGTACCCTCCCTGAAACGATCATGGAAGTGGAATACAGCCTGTTCAAGGGGCCATGTTCCACTTCCATGTTTGTTGGATGGAGGGTATGACCTTCCAGTTTGGTCTTTGGAGCCTCCGAATTGGTTGCTTCGCCACCAGCGCTCCGCTCGGAGCGCAGCTCCTCGTCGCCCGATCGCCCCCCCAGGCACTCAAGCACAGGAGGTGGCGGAGCTGTGGCGCACAGGGCGCTTGCAGGACTGGTCATGCATCAAACTTGGGGGGAATCCCCCTGTGGGTCCAGTGGCTTTTCTACTTAGGGTTTATGTATATCAAGTCTCCGGAGGGATTAGGAGGTAGCACATACCCAAGAATCCTCAAAGTGCGAGTCCGTTTTTGGGCTCGAAAAGGGTGAAAAAGTGGAGTCACCTGGAGATAGGTTAAGAGGTTCGACAGAAAAGGTTAGGTGAAGAGGTTCGGAAGGGCATTGATTCATATATGCTGTATCATACTGTAAAGGATACATTAAGATACCGCACATCAAAGAGGGAGCTTCTAGTCTAAATCAGCTATAGCGACTGAACGGCATCCTGTAAACTTGAGACACCACATGGCTGAAGTCTTCAATACATCCACCTCGAATCACCTCGATAGATCCACTGTGAACAGCGACTGTAGGCCGGTCGCGTCAACGCAGTGTTGTTTGGTTCACTTGGTTGTGCATGCAGTACTCACTTGAAAGATGGATGTGTGTATCAAAACATTTGCGGCTTTTTCGGAAATAAGATCACAGCACTTGCGTTTCCATGTGTTTCATGCGCGTTGGACTGACTCCAACCAACGGCCGGTTGAATCCCGTTGACCGGCAAACACCTTGAGACCAAAGAGGCCGAAGATCCGCTGAAAGGTGCTTTTCTCGGGTGTGATATGTTTGAATCTTTGCCTTCTTTGAACCCAAACCAACAGCCACTATTCTGATCCAGGCCCCTAGAGAGTCATGGAGGGCCCCGTAGCCATGATGGAGCCTAGCATTCAGGCGACCAGAAATGGCACAGCATGTCCAGGAGCCTCCCGAAGGGCTGGAAGCTTTGTCTTATAGTCTCATCGACACGCATCGAGTGTGTCTTGGAGGACAACAAGGACGTCACGGTGCGTCACGTCGACGTCTGTGTGCAACGTCTCACTCCAAACATCGGGGGTCCAGCGCCTCCAACGGGGTCGGGGGGATGTGGGCCCGCGGAGGCATCGCGGCGTTGGTCGCGGCGTTTTAAAACGGAACTCAGACCCTCAAAAGATCGAGATGCCAGACTCCGGACTGCCAGTTCAGATGGGTGTGTTTGTGTGTGTCGGTCATGTCCAAGACCACCAGAATGCAATTTGCAACCTGTCCATACTACGGTGAATATATGATAATATATATTTTTTTATAAATAGATATATATAATATATATATATCATTACTTGAGACTTGAGAGTCCTTCAAATTGAATAGTTTGGTGGCAGAGAGGATGGAGTTCGGGATACGATATGTTCTGGTTCTCATGCCTAATGCCCGCGGATAATGCAATATGTTTCTTCAATGCAGACCGCCTTGTGACAGCAAGCTTTTGAAACTTTAGGGATCCCTAAGGCTCATTTTCAGAGTACGGATTTATAGATTCTGACTCTGATCAAGGACCATTTCACCAGTAGCAGGCAGCAGGCAACACGCCATTCAAGGAATCTTGCTCACCAGCCTGCTGCTAAAGCCATCTAAAGCCCACACTTTTACACCTCCTAGTACTCGGAATATTCCCGATACTAGTGGTCAGTTCAACAACTCTCCATATCTCCAGCATCGTACAGCGGATTGTGAGCAAGGAATGCTCATGAACTTTATGATCACTTCTGGGGAGATCGCGAGACAGCCGAACACAACTTGTGGCCTTTTGAACATTATTGTGCCCCGGCTTTTAACGGCTACATCACTGTCCGATCTGTCACAGTGATGTAGTATCTTGAGTTGATGTCGGTGATGTTTTTTCAGCTAACTGGCTGTGTTGACAAATCCATCTATCCCCGTCGACGGGCTCGCTGACTGAGTTTGTTGACTGAGTTTGCTTGACAGAGTGTGCCGTGACCAGGGGTGCGGATGCACAAGGGGGTTCCCTCAAGTTCTTCCGCATTCGTAGGCTAAAAAGAACGGAATGTGTATCAATTGTTTGGTTCGCCTTCCCCCAAGTCACAAGCCTTCGTTTGATTAGTCTGTAAGAGCAGCCACCTGGTTTTATGGGGTCACTTCTGCAACGCCGCAGGCATTCTGGGCCATGCCACCGCTCTGTACGTGCTGGCCTGGGCGGCCAGCAGTCGAAGGGTGCCCTGAAGAATAAACTAAGGGCAGGTGGAAGATCAGGGTGGTCTTGGAGGAGAACCGGGTGGTTTTCTCTGTAGAGCAAAAAAACAAGGCCAGGTCGAATGCTTTCGGCAACAGATGGAGATCCTGAGATCCAGGGAGATCCAGGAAGCCTCGGGATGGGCATCTCGGCATCCCACGTGGGGCGTCGTTGGACCATCCTTGGACACCGTGGTGGGCATCAAGCCGCCAAAGCCGGTGGGGGTTTTCGTCGGTCGAGTCCAGCATGTTCCCAGTCCATCCGAGAGCAACGACTCCAGCAACGAGTGACAACAAGGACAACAAAGCCCAAAGCCCCAGCGTTTCTCAGCTTCTTCAGTGAGTTAACCCATTTGAACAGCAAAATATCTTCAAAAAGAAGAACATTGACAGAGAATCCCGGTGAAGTTTGTTGCTGCCATGATAAGCATAATGATTTTTTGCCATGCCCGGGCATGGCTTGTGGGTCGAACGAACCCAGTTTCCTGGGTGGCCCCGGCTGGCGATCTGTTACATCATCGAAAACAAGATAAACCCGTGGCCATCACCAGCTCCGACCGCCTCTTCACACCACCGGCTTATTGGGTCGCGGTTGTTTTGATGCGTTGTTTGTGGCCGACGCGTCCAAACACCCCAGGAGTTCATCGAAGCCGAGTACTTCTTGACCACCGCCGTTGCCATGTTGAGGCCTTTTCGGTTCGGAGGGAGTTCCAATTCCTACGAAGGACATACAGAAGCTGAAGAAGTTGTTTGGTAGATGACATAGCAAAATCTGCCAACAGATGAATGAATGATCATGAATTCGTCGCGAAGTGATGCAAATCTAAACGTTTCCTGCTTGCATTGACCTTATAAGATACAGTTTTATACTGTAAATAGGTTGTTTGACCTGTGCACATACCCGTGCCTTTGCTGCCTGCGCTCGTAGGATGGACGACCATGACTTCTTTGAACACACTTCATGGCCCTTTACGTCCAGCTGGCATGTGGAGTCGAGTCGGTTTGTTCTCGTCCTTAGAAAGGACCTTCTTTTCCGCTGTTCTGGGAGTGGATGAAGGGGCAGAGTTCTTCAGGGAAAATCAGGGCGGATTGATGGAGAGATCGGGGGGTCTAATTATGGGGATGATGTGTTTTTTTCCAGGTGTTCTTGTCACCTCTCCACTGCTCATGTCAGGGGCTTGAAGCAGACAGCAGCCCATGTCCATGTTGGCGATGGGGTGAACCATGAATTGAACCATGTTCAACAGTGAAGACATGTCGAAGAAGAGTCAACCGGGTGAACAATGGTGCACTTGACCCGGCGGTACTAGCTGATGGTAGGTGATGTTAAGTGTTGCTTTGACCCCACATGAGCGATGTTTGAACCATGGACATATTTCAGTGCCCATGTCGTGGTCCGACTTTGTTTTTAGCCTGAAGGAGAAGTGAAAAGGGTCACTGAAAAAGCCTCCGGTCCCATGTGGCCTCCCAGGGCCAGCCCCTTCCTCGGTTCTCAGTCTGATTTGCGCCTCACGTGAGAGCCAGGTCCTTTGATCTGCTGTCGAACCTCTACTTTGTGCGACTCCAGTGGCCCTTCCAAGCGACCCACGTGAAGCCGCACCCCGAGGGGTCCGGCCACCTCCGCACACGCTTGCCCTTGGTGTGGCCGTCGCACCCGGGCGATGGAAGAGTGAGCCATGCAGGCCATGCAGACACCCACCCGGTACTGTAAGATTGATTGGTTTGAAGAGTCTCCCGACCCCTGAGAGTGTTATGGTTTGTTATGGTTTGTTGATGGGAGTAAGCACCATGTGGTGCCATGTGCCACCTACCGCTGAGGCAACTGCACCCTTCCAGACCAAAAGCCGTTGCGAAACGAAGTCGGGACTTGGGACAGTCTTAGACGGGTCCATTGATGCCTGGGCCATGAAGACGAGACATCATGACTGACATCATCGTCACTTCCTCTACCCCGGCGGTCCGTCCGGACCGCCCGCTTGAACGCGCTCCCAACGACCAGACGACCCCGACGCGGAGACCCGGCTGAACTCGCTGAACTCGCAAAGGTATGCTCCCCGTTGTTGGCCCCACTGCCCGACGGAACGACCCGAGTGGTCGAAGCGTCCGCTGAAGGTGCGGAGGTTGGTTGGGTGGACATTGGGGAGGTCACAGGGGTTTGGCGTGGAAGCCACTCTGTTTTAGATGTTCTCAAACAAGTTGTGGGACCGAATGCTTGTGGCGTAAGAATCCAAAGGCCTAGTAGGCTTAGTATACAGTAGTTATTCGAGCAAGCGTTAGGGATTTTGAATTATATAAATATATGTTTGATTTTGTTAATTTGTTTAATTTGCCACTCTGGGGTTTCTGGGTGGGAATTCTGATGACATCCATACAGTGACTGCATAGGCAGTCTAGTTGGAATGACCATTACATGGCATGTTTCATGAGTTCATGACTTGTTTCCTGCACCCTAGGTTTTTGGTGCAAACAAACAGCTTCAAGATCCAGGGGGTTCAGAGGGACGGGACGTCCACTCACACAGGGAGCAACACTCAAAAGGCCCGTTCCACGTTTCCGGTCAGACACGTACAGTACCCAGATACTCCATGTATGGCATATTTACCATTGTTTACCTACATTGCGGTGGTTTGAGGGGTCAATGTAGGCCAATATTCCAGGCCCATTAGTCGTGTTTGGGGTATATCCACAGTCACAGACCGTGTCTTCCACCGCTAGAGACTTCGACAGACTGGTTCCGCGTGGTTCCTCGTGGTTCCTCCCCGCTTGACCGGACGTAAGGGCGGGCCTTACGCGTGGTCCCCGGTCCAGCCGGGCAGCCGGGCAGGTGTGGTGGACCTCCAAGAATCCGGGCCCCTTCGTGGACTTCGCGACGCTCGTGGAGAGATGGATGGGCGATCGACGCCCGGAGAGGTGGGTGAACGATGGGGAGGAATGGCGATCGATGGCGGTGAAGCGAAGAAAGGCGAAGAAGCAGGCTTTCCGAAATGGGGAACCAGAATGAAAAACGCTACTATAATATAGGGGCTCCTGGCATCGCTACCAGGAGCAAGAACGGACAAGAGATCGGCACAGACGGGGACAAATGCTGTGGTTCCCTGACCCATGCGCCGAAATGTATGTTTATCCCAGGAGAGATCCCGAATGTTCCAGTGGAATCTGGGCAGATCCAGTCCAACAATTCATGGAATATGTGCCTACGTTGGGGAGATGTTTCAGTTTCAGTGGTCAATGTAAATGGTAAATCTTCAGTCCCATGGATGGTCGTGGACGATCCAGTGGAAGATCCAGTGGAATCCCAGAAGTTCAGTCGACTTCGATCGATGTGCAACTCCAAAACACTCCAGCGGGACCGGACGCCGTGCGGTGCGCGGTGACGCCTCAATGCTCAGCAGCGTGCGGTGCGCCGTGACACCTCTGCGGAAGCTAAGGATATGCGGTGTCCATCTCTCACAATGCGCTGGCAGATCATTGTGAGTACGCTCGTTACAAAGACTGGCCCTTCAGATGAACTTCAGACGCTCGTGCCTGGTGGAAACTGAGACTCTCATGTGACCTTAAGACTCTCATGGGACCTTTGGAAGCTCCGGCTCAGTCGGAGAAGCTGCGGCTCTTCAGACTGACAAGCAAAGCCGACCTGTCACCTGCGATAAAGCACCCCTTATAAAGCAGACCCAGGGCGGCCGAAGTGTCCTATTCAAGGGTTATAATCAATGATATTCAGTGACCAGAGGTGGGTATGAGCCTGGAACGAAGACCGAAGGCATTGAGAAAGATGTGTGTTTTTTTTCAAAGGGAAACCCCGGACCCCATGGCCCAATAGGTAGACTGGTAGGTAGACTGGCCATAGACTCACCATTGGCCATGCTCTATGAATGTCCCTTCTTGCAGGTCTAACCCTTAACCCGCGCTAACCCTTAACCCTAACCCTTAACACTTGTGGTTTCACCTGGTTGGCTCTCCACATCCGACCCGTTCGTTCCCCGCAACCGTCCTCGAGACCTCCTCGGATGGTGAGGCTTTGCTCGAAGGATGAACGCTTCAAGGAGGCCGTGGGACGGACCATGGAGGACGCCCGATCGGTTGGGGGGAGCACTGGGGTGAAGACGAGCTCTTCGTCTGCGTGCGAAAACATGATGATCCGCCCGCAGGAAAGCACGGGTATAGCTAGGCTCCAACGGTAAACCGATACTAGGCTACCCCCCCCCCAAAAGGATTGGCTTGGAGCACCAATCCCCGGTTGCGGTGGTGGGTTTGTCCTTTCGTGCCCGGGCGGGATAGGTTCAAGAGCCAGGAATGCAGGGAAAACTGAGCCAGGAAGCTACAAGTTCCAACAGGGCTTGCGGCGTTGGTCACGTGGGGAAGTCCTCGCAGAAACAAACCCTGCGCCTCTAAGATTGTAATTTCCTTCACCCTGAGGGCTGACGGCTGGGAATGATTGTTCCCTGTACGACTGTAACTTGTTCAACTCATATCCACATGGGCCACATGGGTCTTTATTTTAATATAGACTAACACATGCTAACACCCCCACCAAAGGGTTGTGGTCTTTGTTCCAAACCTTCCTGGGGGTCTAGACCAAGGGTCTCCCTAGTCCAACAAGACTCACCCATTCCGAGCTTCTCGTTGCCGTTGGTGCCTTCTGCAAGTCCCAAAGCAAGATTTGCACTGAACTGAATCCACTGTGCTTTGTTGTATGTACGTTTCTATGGGTTTGTACTCGTCCGTTCCAATGGTTTATTTTCAGAAAATGCCTTTCAGGTCATGCAAGAGCAGAGGATTCTCAGCGAGATGTCACAAGCAGACTGTGGTGAGGACTGAATGACTGACCGTCACTGACCCTGGTTTTCAAAGGGAGGCTCGAGTTCGGGTTCACCTTGATTACTGTGACGCCGTGGTGAAGAAGGTCGCCATTCCTCTTGTCCAGCCTTGGGCATGTGTTCCCTGTTCCTTTCAGTGTACAAGAACGATCAAGACAGGATGATGCAGGATGAACTTGTATGATTTGCACATGAAATGGTGCCATCATTGCCCTCATCTTGCTGCAAGTCTGTGTGTGGTTTCTTTTGCGTGAGAATGTGGACTGTTTTGCACCAAAGCATCCCGAAACCGGCGAGCATTCTCTTCGTTTTAATTTGGACCTTAAGCATACCATACCTTTGCAGGGAGGCAGCAAAATGCTAACAGCTAACACCACTCATGACATGATTGGTTGTTCACCTGGATGTTCTGGAGGTATCCAAGGTATGCTATGTACAGCTATTGTGTCCATATTGTCATATGGTTAATCATGTGAGTGTTCTTCTGCAATTCCGGAGGATTCAAGGGCCGTGCTTGAAGAGCCCCAAACTGTGCCAAGACTGTGCAGGCAATTCTTGTTCGGGGGGCCTTCCAAGATGCGTCGTGTTGAATTGGTTTCCAAACTGGGTGGCTTCGGGATTTGTGAAGAACACTTGAATCCGGAGATTTGGATATAATTATTGGATGACTTTTTCAGGGTTTCCGGATAGACCGACTTCTTTGAAATGCAGTTTTGCATAGTTAGGAATGTTTTCACCCATGCTGCACAGCTCCAATTCTCACTCTGTATGTCACAGGTTTCGTGCGTTCGCTCCAGTTCTCCAGGGGGGTGCGACACTTCGTGAGGAGATCAGGACCAGACAACACCATATTTTGGCTGCGCCACTTCGATGGATGGAACAGACCTCCCAGACACATCCAAAAAAGACAATATCAGCATCCATCAACTGACTGGACTGGATGCCATTCTTGACTGGACTGCTTGGTATTGACACAGCCGTGACTCGACCCCGATGTCACATGGATAGTGGATCAAGAACTTGTTGGTGTACTCAGGGTCGGACGGAAAGGAACTAAACCTTTTTGAACATATTGTCATGGTCCTAGTGGCCCACAACCCAGTTGGTATGGTTCATTAGGACCTGCATGTTGTTTGAAGATCCTGCATAAGCACTTGTCCATTCAGGACAAGGGTTGGCTGGTGAACTCTTGCAAGATTCCTCCTTAGCTGTGCGGCTAAAGCTGTAAATCTCACAGCTCTGGTCCCTTGGAGAACTGACTCTTTTTCAGTCGGAATAGCCATTCCATCGCCGGAACCGTCTTGGAACGAGCGCTGGAACCACCGTGCAAATACCCGGTGTGCCGGTGTTGCGGACGAAGCAGACCTACTCCGGCGCCGGAAACACAGGAGCGTGGCCAGTGCCTTGGACCGGTCGAGAAGAGGACCGGAGAGCACTGCGGAACCAATGACTGCGGTTTTGGAGCCTACATTGATCCCTCCAACCACCCCAGTAACCACCCCCCAATGTAGTTAAATATTCTTCCATGACGTGGAAGGTTGCTCAGAATCTGGCTGCTTGATGTGCAAAGAAAAAGAGTTCCCGGATGGCACATCCCAGCAATTTTGTTGACCCAAATCAACTCCACTGGACGCGAAGGGGGGCAGATCCGCTGTACCCAGAATGTGGGTAACTAGGTGATTGTCATTTTTGTCCAATATATGTGTATCATCGGGGTAGTAAAGGACTGGCAATGACTGGCACCAAGAAATGCATCGTGCAATCATTGGAATCATGCGAAAATGATCCGAAAACAGAAGACTCAAACTTAGCCCTGCACGCGAAACGAACGCAAAACTGCGCGTCATGCAAGAACGCGCACCGACGCTTCACGCGTTTTAACCTGGCTGGCGAGGTGGTGTGGCTTGAAGGAGCTGCACGAAGCCTTTGACCCAGTCATTGGGCGCTTTGAGGCGAGGCGAAGGGCGCTAGCACCAGCGGGTCGCGGGGGCTCGACGGTGCGCACAGATGTCAGAACGATGTTCCCTCAGTATATAACAATATCTAACAGTATATGTATAGTATAGTTATATATTGAGGGAACATATATAATATGTATAAAATATACAAAATATATAACGTCTATACATAACTATACTATAAATATATATATATGTACTATGCACAATGTTACAACGCGGGATCATGTTTCCGGGTCGTGTAGGATTCTGGCATTCCCTAGCGAAACCAAACATGAACCAGCACATATATGCGAGTTTGACAAACTCCACATGTTGTGCAAGACAAGGAGTGGTATTCCACAGGCACAGTTCATCCACCCACTACTCAGGAACGCCAAGAGCCTATCCCATGGCTGAGACTACTACTGGTAGTTTGTCGACATGTTTGGTACCCACGGCCACATGTGTCTTGAACAGGCGCCAACGCTGCAACAAAACCGACAATCCACAATCGCCGTGTGCTTGTGTGATGGACATGGTGATTGCATGTGGGGGAACTGTACAGGTTTGTACTGATGAACCCAATGTTCTAAAATTCCATTGGTGAGTTCCAATGTTCTGAATTTGTAGGCTACCGCTCTTCACATGTGTTATGTTTGTATGTTTGTTTGTCTTGATTTGCTTCTAACCGACGTTTCCGTTTCTTCCTTCACTGCTCGCGGGCCAGTACTGGTCGCGGAACGTGTTGATAGTCGGACTGCCGATTTAGCGTCGCGTCGGGTGCTTCGTCCGATGGACGATGAGATTCCTGGGATTCTTGGCCCATTGGAGTCACAAGGTTCGCTACGAACGGAACTTACTGGGCATCGCAACTCGAACGGAGCGATCGAACGCTACTAAGTAAGTAGACTAGTAGCTCCTCGCATGACGACGCACGGAGCAAGAGGACGCTACGATCGTAACAGGATTCGAACGTTTTCCGAAGAACCTTTGTTTTACTAATGGCTTGGAACTAGAGTGAAATAAATAGAAGAGAAATTGAGATTTAGAAGCGGGCCTCCAAGATATCAACATTGAAATCAAGAGATCTAGACGCGGGCCCCTATCAGGTTCTAGGCAAGCGCCACTTTTGGGAAAAAACATTGACAGAGGCAGAGGCATAAATCTTTGCGCGACGACCTTTCCCACCCTCAATGCCACTCTTTTTGCAGTTCACAAGCTACAGTGGTGATTTTTTGGCTGTGGGTGACATGATATCTTGTAAGCAAGTATGATGCTCTATGTTGTCAGTTATATGATATATTATTCCATTGCAAGGCTACATTATACAACCAGAAACCTTTATATGTGATTACTGTATATTGTATATTTGTCAACCATTATACTTGATTATATTTGTGTATATCAAACATTATCAACCAGTTATATTGTTATATATATATATATGGCTACTCAGCAAAACATCCTAATGTCCTTTCGTTGAATCATTCATTTGCCGAGCCAGCCCGCCGCTGGGTACGTGGTTCCACTGCCTCGTCACGTTGTTCGAGGCTGCCTTTCCTGAGCTGAAGCAAGTAGATCTCTTCGCCTGCGGCCACCCGCTGCTCAGTTGCGGAAACGGTCGGCAGTCGGCACTGCGTGTTCTGTCTGGGTGACTCGGGAAGCATGGTCATGGATTATGGGAAGTGGATGAGTGGTTGTGGATGGTTGTGGCAAGTATTTGCGTGTGAGCAACAATTCCAACACTGGAATTGGTCGCCAAATGACATTGTCTCTTCAACTGGCCTCGGATGTGGCGCAGCCACTTGATCGGTGTATGAACTACAATGCAACTTGCTGTGACTTCCGTTGCATCGCTTCGGTGGCATCGCGGTTTAGGCGGAAAAGAAAACAACCGCGGTGTTTCCAGGTATTGGTATCCACAGATTTCAGGATGATCAGGTCACATGTTCGGTCCTTCTCACCAAATCCTCAGGCAATGGAGTAATTATGAGTAATTATATGCAATTACAAGCTACTTGTAGGCCTTTGATGGCTGCACCATCCATGTCTTCTTTGGAGAACAGATCATATTCTCCAGCCTTGCGGGTTGGATCCTTTTCGTGCAGGCTATTTTGGTGCCGGCTGGTCGAGAGCCACTGGGACCAAGCAGGTAGTGGGATGGGATGTGATGTGCCCAAGGAAGTAAAGACGTGATTTTATCCACAGGAAGTGTAGCGTGCGAAATCAGCTGGCAGGATCCGGCAGGATTGGCAACTCGCGATTGTTCTGTTTCCCGCCTCCCAGTCGGGGTTGCAAACAACATCAGAATCCACTAAAGGGATCTTAAGCAAGCCAGTCACAAGACAATCTCAAGTGCTTAGGCAGGATATGTGTTAACTAAAGGCACAACATGGCACAACTTTTGCCTTCAAGAACACACTGACATCCAAGGCGCTGCATGACATATATACATATGTCACACAGTGTCAAGACAAATCAATTCCTGTAGAACTCCCTTCACCCAAGCTCAGTGCTTGACCTTCAACTAAATCCGAAAGGATTGCGTACTCCCACGGAGGAAGAACAGGTGGATACTACGGCAGGCTGAAAGCTCCGCTGCCAGAAAGACCTTCTCATGCCGTCGCTCGCGCTTTCAGTGCGAGCGCGACTGCGAGCGCCGGGTCTCCCAGGCTTTGAAGCTCCGATCCTGGGCATTTGGGACATGACGCACCTCTTTGCCGTTCCGGAGCATCTGCAGGTGCGCGGATGTCCTGTGACGCTGCTCTTCGCACCTCTTCTTCTTCCACCTCTTCTTCTTCCACGAGTCGGGCACGGTTCACCCACGAATGTCGTACTCTTGATGAAGAACGCCTGTACACTGTACAACCTCTGCTACCACCTGCGCACACGAGACGTCGAGTGAAACTCGTGTACATTGTGGCCCGCACTCCACGGAACGACATGGAGGCCCAGTAGAAGAGATGAACGAGGCAGTCCAAGATGTTGGAATTCAGCGATGGAACATTGATGAAAAATTCCCATGTATTCAAATCAAGAGTCTACACTCATGACTTATGATCCAAGTCAACAGCCTGCGGAACTTGCATGTGGATGTTTATGGATGTTCCCTGATGGGGTGCAGGAGGAGAGTCAGAGGCCACTTTGTCATACTGTACAGCATCACTGATACTCCAAATGTGAATATGGTCAGACTGACTGAATGTGCTAAGCAGCCAGCCAGGTTCAGAACTCTTGAGAAGCTAGGTACTCATTTGACGTACACATACGTACACAGAAATCTATTGCATCAAACGTGGAAACTGTATTAGAGTTAATGATGCTACAGTATTCTGAACATGTCAATATCAATTCCCATTTTGGAGGGACAGGCGCTTGCGATTTCGTCATCTCAACTTGCCAAGAACAACGCCGGGCTTCACTCCTTTCTATCCGCGTCGTCCTCGCGTCGTCCTCGCAGAAAAACACGTGTGTCGCGACTCTCCAACGATGTCAGGAGACTTGGACCAGTGGATTCTTACGACTCTTCGAGAAGAAGCCACTCGGACCGAGAAAGAAAGGGTTTGCACTTCGTCTCCTCTGGCCGTTTGGCCGCCACTGTCGGGGGCGCGGTGGAACGGAAGTGCACCGGACCGCGGATGGAGGTGTCTTGAGGAAGTATACCCTGATGCCCCGTGGATTGGGGAAGAGAACATGACCGGGAACTGATCAAGAATGGGAGACTCAGTGGCAGCATGTCGAACAGGGCTGGTGGTGGTGTTCGGAACCAGCCCTTGTATTTCAATCATAGGCTATTTATTACATAAATTATATAGACGCTTATCATAGTGCCAGCGTGTTGCCCTACGTAACCACCCAGCCATAGGCTGCCCGATCGCTTGCTGATGCATTTGGATTTGTCTTCGGAATCCGCCGAGAAGACTTGGACAGTCCCCGCAAAGCACTGCCCAGATCTGACGGTGGCAGTAGTGTCTTCTGCTGTGGGAACCCCAAGACCACAGCGGCCGAGGGAGTTACCTTTTGATCATGTTTGTATGATTCCTTGGCAGTAAGGAACATCAACCCAGTTTTAACATAACATGCCAATTTAACATGCTCTCTCACATAGCGCTCACCAGCCCGGGCGAGGCAGAACCTCCTGGTGGCCATGTCTGCCTACCATAGTTTTCAGATCCAGTGGCTTTTAAATCTACGCCGCTCGACCAAAGAGGGCGGCACTCAGCACATGTGGTTCGTGTTCCCCCTAAAAGCTGGTCCATGTGCTCTCGCTTTTGCTTTGCCATGGTTTGACATGGTTGTGCATGTGTGATCCCATTCTTGGCGTTGGAGTACTTGGCCTTTGTGGCTTTAAAGACCTGTGGGTGTGTGATGGTATATTTGGATAATGGATGCATTTTGGGGAATCCTCTCAAGGTCAGCCTCTCTTTCTTTCTTTCTTTGTCCCTTTCTCTTTTCCACTTCAACGGGTGCGGGACCTCGGCGGTTCACACCTGGGGTGTTTGTCCTGCCGTCCACGTCCAGCTTCAGCGCAGGGTTCGCGTGTTCTAGCGAAGATGTGGGACATGACCATCATGACCCCTCCACTATACAATTACTTGGGGAGGGTACTCAGTTGGCAATTGTTTTCTTTTGGTTCACATGAGAAAAGCCGCAAGCGAAAACATATGGGAAGAAGCGTCGCTTCGACAAAATCCGGCGGTCACCAGGATGGTCACCTTCGTTTTGCTTTGGAGTCTGAGGGATTCGGGATTTTTGATGGTATATTCTTCATTTACACGATCAGTTCAGGACTTGTACTGTAGGGCACTTCATTGTGGTGCCTAAATGTGCATGATATAGTTGCACAGTTTGAAGCCAGTTTGTAGCCGCCGCAAACATCAGTTTGATCAGTTTGTGTGTGATGGACCAGTCTCCCCACTAGAACAACGCGCGTAGCGCGCTGTGTATTTGCATTCCACTGTCCACTGACACACTAACTATTTTCTTGCGAGCTGGCCAGTATTGAGTTTCTCTAACAGCGAGGGTTTCAACATGCGCAACCGCTCCAATGCTTGAGAACATTGAACCAGATAATATATATACAGGTGTTTCCTGCTTGGTTTTGCTTGGTCGCTGATTCCCAAGACTGGTACCGCCACTCGAGGTAGCGCCTATTTTCAACCTGTCACACCTGATGTGGCTCTACGTGCGAGGTATCACCCACTGCGACAGGAAGAGGTGGCAGTGAAGACAGGGTGGAAACAACCGCAGCCAAGGGGGGGTTCATGACCAGCAGATGGTGTTTGCACCATTTGGGATATCGTCTACTGCAGGCCTAAGATGTTGATGTGGCTGTGGAAGTGGGTGATGTTGCTGTGACTTTTGCTCTCTTTGCTACTAATGGTCACCAATGCCGATCACGTTGCTGTTGTCAGTTGTTGCTGCGGTTTTGCTTGCGCTTGCTGCTGTGTTTGTGGCTGCAGGTTGGCGCTTATCGCCACCACGGCCACTAGACTCATCAGGTTTACCACGGCCACCGGACTCGTCGTCAGGTGCTGGTGAGCAAATTCCGCACGCCCTACGACATTGAGCTCTTGCAGCGCCTCGCGGCCAAGGCGCTGAAAGCTTAGCCACAAGCTGGAGAAACTCAAGCCTTGTAGACAGGGTGTTTGGTGCCAAATCAACCGCAAGCGACCTTGGAGTGTTCATCCGACTTGGTCGAGTGCTTGTCTGTGGGTGTTCGTCCGAGTGGTCGAGGAGGATGCAGAACGGGTGTTGCGGACGGTTGGAGAGGTGATACGGAGTGGTCATACGGGGTCGCAAAGCGCAGATGCTCCAAGATGCTCAAGATATATGATGGTGTCCGACGTATGAATCCGTAGGAATGCAGTTCATGGTGTTTCAAGGTTTTCAAGGATGGATAAGGGCGTTAACTCACCGTTCTGGATGTGGACACTGCTATTGGACCCTGGCGGCCAACCATCATTTCATTGGTGCTTCCTCAAGGCGACCATCCAGAAACATCAATTGGATGTTGGCGGTACCTGGAAGACAACTGATATATATATAATAGTGCATAATGAGATGTCCGAGTCAAAATTATCAATCTCGAAGCAGCAATGAAGGCTCCCAGGGCATCCATACCCGAGTATTGGTAGACGATGTATCGACTCGATTCCTTCAAATTGGAGGGAGATGCACATTTCATGCGCAAATGGGCACAAGCACCAACCCAGTTAGTGGTTGTCTCGCTAGACAGAGCGTAGATGTTCAACAGCTGTAACAAAATTGGACTATGCCAGAAGCTGTTGGGAAGACCATATCCCTTCTTCTAGCATCGCTGTTCTAATTACCAGTTTCTGCAAGTCTGTAAGTGTCAAACATTCTGAGAGAGGGTCATATTGTTTCTATTTTTTATGTCATTGGTGGTAGGGGGAGGAGTTGTTTCATTTGCATCAGGCTGCCTCATCATTTCCTTTCCGCTTTGTGGCATGGGACGTGCCTTGGCTGGACCTTGTTTTTCATGTGTTGGCCAGAAGGCAGCCGGATGGTTGAAACGCGCTACTCACCAGTGTCCATTTTTTTTGATCGATCGCGGTCACCCATACACCCGAAGGAAACATCATGGTTGCCCACGAGGGGGGTCTCCGCGGCCGGGGCAAACCGTGTGACCGTGCTAAACAGCGCGTCGCTGTTTCAACCGCAGATCATGGCCTGCTATAATCGTGGCTCATGGTTGTCCTGTGCCACCACTAGAAAGATGACTCTTCAGTGCCAGCGACATGGATTTGAAAGCGTTCACACTTGGGAAGGATCCATCTTTGTGGCCTTTCCGGGACCTCCCATGTCATTTGCATGGCCTGCCATCCAGCGTTTTTAGTGGCGATCAGTAGTGTCCGATGTTGGCGGCACCGTGTTGTCCGGTGCGTCCAGGACATGCCTTGTGGGAAGGACTGCACCAAAGCCGAACTGGGCCACTTTCGGGCCAGTGTGCTGTCTGCCTACGACACGACTCTGGGTCAGCATCTTCATCCTCTGAGTCCAAGTCCCAAGTCCATCCAAGTCCAAGTCCCAGTCTGGTTCCTGAAGAGCCTAAGGAGTCCCATGAAGTTGACGGAGTTCTATGCGACTCGGAGTAACCGAGTCGCGGAGTTCGAGTCTTAAACGACCGTGGGCCGGCTTGGAGTGGAAGAGTTGATATGGGTTCCCTACCTAAGCAACCTTTTGGGGGGTTATGCCATCTACTAGAGGACTCATGAATAAACCCCACTCTAGACTTGGATTGAAACACCTCTTCATACTAAGGGTTTATGAAACCGTCGACATCCCTGACTTTGGGGGATCTTCAAGTCGAAGGTTCCTTCGGGTGATGTACTGCAAAAATTGCTAATATGAGTGGAGTGGCAATCCGGAAACAAAACAGAACGTGGTATGTTGTATTGGAATCCTCGAACCCATTTCTTTTTGATGTATATTATACCCGTGTCCGCCAATCAGCATAATTGAATATAATTGAGCCTTTTGCTTTGTTTCAGGAATTTGCTTCTACAAAGGACTGATAAGGGCTGTTTTCTGTTTTTCGAGGCAGTGCCAGTTGTGAAGGATGGCGCAGGGTAGGCGATATTGCCTGTTGTTTTGTGATGAATTCCACTTGGGAGGATGCTGAAAAAGTCGAGAAGAGTTGGGCAGTTTGACATGGCTTTTGACATTGCATGTTGCTTGCTGTTTTCCGCCCACACACTCACAAACCTTTGGTGAAGACGGTCAAGGGCTTTCTATAGTCTATAGGTCTCATGAGGTCTCCCCAGTTTTGGGAACGCCGTCGTCGGACTCGCGACGGACCGGACCTTGACGCCCAGAACGGTCAAGAGTTAATCGACGTCCAGGGATTCCAATGTTATGAACCGTTCGACATCCATTTGGTGGCGGAAAAACATGTGGTTTGCACATGGAAAAACACCTTTTTGTTGGATCGTTTGCGCTGTGTTTGTGGTTCTTCGACATCGTGCTTTAGAGTTTGAGGATGTCATCCGAGGCGATGGCAATGCCAATCTTCATCTTCTCCGGCGGCTTGTGGCGCACTGCCATGCCACTCTGCGGGCAGAAAGTCCAAGATCCAATGAATCTGGTAAGTACCTCGAACCTTCAAAGGCTTCCAATGCCAGCATGTGAATGGAGCAAATGGAGCATCTCCAAGCAACACTACAGTGAGGGATCGTTGTTCATGCGGCCAGAAGGCATAATTGAGTTAGGAGTGAGAGGGATGCTGTGGTTGATCTCAAGAACAAACCAACGAAGCAATAAGCCCTGCCCATGTGTCCTTCGTTGGATGATGAGTTGCTGGTTCAACCTGTCATTTTAGCATGTTTTTGGAGCAGTGATTGGCAAGAGAAAAACCAAGAACACTATACCTTTCAAGAGCCTCACAACACACCTGGGCTGCATTTCGGTTTGGACCATACAAAGGAATATCCATCATGTGGCATGTCGTTCCTCATCTATGGTAAAGCAGGTGCCAAGAGCAGTTGTTGGTTGGTTTGCAAGGGACCGATTGGTCTTCGCGACCATGCTGCATTGACTACGGGAACTTTTCCAATGTTGATGTATGTTGATGTTGTTGGTCCTCGTACTCGTCCTCGTTCTTGTTGTTTTTCCTTTTCGTGCTGCGTTGGTCGTAGGATAGTATCATGACCTAAGAGGCAGATTGTTGACATCTCTCCTAGATATCCCAGCTTCATTGTCCACTTTCTGAATCGCTGCGGTTTATAGAGTCTTGGCAAGATTGCATTTTTGTTTGCCGCCCAGGCGCTGGGCGAAGGCGGATGCCAAGTCAGGAGGGCCCAATGCCAGCTGGCCAGGTGCTCTGTGGGGGGTCCACAGTGGGGTGAACAGGGGTGAGCAAACATCCTCCAGCGGATTCAGGTGATCAATTTGGTTTGAATGACCACCATGGACCAGGTACATATGACCCAGTACAAAACCAGCCGCACCTGTGAAGAACTGGGGTTGGAGGCCGATCATCTCAAAAATCTCCCGACAAATCTCAATGGTGGGAGTGAATCCCGAACGTTGGAAGAAATCCTGCGCGAACAGCGCTGGGACTCCACAAAACACGTGAGATGCCGTAGTCTTGCCGGGCATTTGAGCCCCAGTGTGTCACTTCCAAAAGTAGAGGCTCTTCCAACTGTCCTGCAGAGGCTTTGCCGGCCGCCCATCTTCCAGGCCGGCACTTCCATCACCTCGAAGCGCCGACGAGTTCTGGAAGCGCCGGAAACGCCTCCATCGCCCGGGCGCTGCAACAGGAAACCGAGGCCGGTCGAGGGCAGTCGTCGTGAGGAGACGGGGAGATGGGTCTGTCCGAACTGACCTGTAACATTCAGGAAACAATGGTCACTGCGTGAGAGATGTCGGCCTGCAAGCTAGTTAGATCATCCACTGCGCCCTGGTAATGGACCCAACGGAGACAGGCATGGGGAGACGTGAGCTGGGTGTGAATTAGCAGAAGCAGCTTTTTGCTTCGTACACTGCTTCGTACTAGTAGCGATGCCCTTTGCTACTAGTAGCTTCTTGTTCCTAGTAGTATGGCCAGGAGCTACTAGTAGCGTCCTTGCTCCTAGTAGCGATGCCCTTTGCTACTAGTAGCATAGCTTCTTGTTATAAGATGTTATAAGTCTTTTTCTCTCCAAGGTCCAAGACCTGAAACCCTGAAGTGGTGGTTTTCTCAGGGAGAAGATTTCCCGTTGAGCAGCCGGATGGAATATGAATATGCTTGGATGCCCCTTTGAGCTGAACTGCTCCGATCTTCGATGCGGCATTTTGCTTGAGTTTTTGCTTAGAGAAGATAATGCCGACACGACCACCCTATTTTGGATAACCATGGGGGCTGGGATTCAGCAAGTTTAGCAAGCTTGGAGAGTTGCCTTATTACACGCGAAAGCTGAAGAAGATAGGATACTGTAAGTTACGACCGGTCAAGGTAGAACAAAAATCTACAGAAATCCCAAATGTCTCGGACAGTCTCCCATAGCACAGCATGTCCACAACTGGTCCCGTTATCCTGAGTATGTTTATCATTTGGATCCCCATGGAGCCGTCACCTGGTCACTTGGCTGATGTTTTCCGTAAAACTTAGGCGATCTCTTGGGAACAGCCGTGGCAAGTCTTCGAGAAGGAGAGACGGGAACTGACTGTTCACTTCAGTGAGGGTTGAAGTTGATCATGTGGAAGCATGTCAATGTATATATGAAGTGCCTTCCAAATGTGCGATGATTGCAATTGCATAAGAGCGTTGCATTCATATGTTGGCATGCTCCAAACCCTGGCAAACGATCGGCCACTCACAAAAACACACACAAGAAAAACTGATACCCTGTAACTCCTTTAGCAAGATGTCAAAACGGTTGGAAACGATAAGGAACTCGCTAATATGACAATGCAGCAGCCCCACATAATAAATGTTGACCGTATTTCAATGTCTCTATAGCTGCGTTATCATACACACGACGCTCAGAGTTGTTGGGTGGTGTTCTCAACAGCAAGAAGAAGAATAATAAGCAAACAAACAATGTACTCGTACGCTGATAAATATGGATTTGTACAAGATGAGCCAAATGAACCGGTATGAACCGACTTTTATACTGAGCCTGTCATGGTCAATGGTGTGCCACCCACTTGAGCCACTGCCCCTTCTTGTGTGTGTATCATTGAGATTGCAACATATTGCAACAACTCATCGTGACCTCGTGAACTTTCTTGTTTGCTGTAATTGCTTATGGTAATCATACTTTACTTGACAATGTAGACTTGTCAGGAGCCACTGCCGCTGCTCGGATGGCTGTGGGACGGACAGTGACATGATGGGTCACCACAGAGGGGTGTTCAGCTGACTGGAGACATTGGGTCCATCGGTGCTTCGTTCGGCACCGCTCCGCGTGGGATGGAGAAAGTCGGCTCCGGAAGAGCCTCCCATGGTTTGTCCCTTTCCCCTGTACACACCCAAGTCGTTTCGTGCAGAATGTCCAGAAGCATCGTGTTTGACCGGGATGGGTCATGGCACCTGGAGTCCCACGGTCGTCCAGAACGACCGACACCGTCGATAGACCAGTCAACCAGTCAGTCTCATGGTTCCACAGCCGTTCAGGTACTCACCCTTCATGCAGAACCGCTCCTTGTCTCGAGGAATCGTGGAATCAAGCACATTGCACGGGAATTGGATGGTCTTGGGACGGGTTTTCTGTGGTCAACCCAGTGTGCCACAGCACCTTTGTCCCTTGTCAGTGAAATGATTGCTAGACAGCAAAGAAGACGGAACCTCCAAAACCAGTCGTTCTATGGCGAAACCAGCGGGAGCCATTTGGCTCTCCATGTGGAGGTAAGCTACCGCGGACAGTACCATCCCATCACAGAATCCAAGAAAAAACCGCACAAAACCATTGGACCCGTGTTGAACGGGGGCTGCTCGTTTCAGAACGTGCAAATTGCTCGTTTGGTCTATATAGGTAGATGCCAGTAGATGCGGTTGATGAGCAACGGACTCGATTTGCTTTTGGGGAATGGGAGGAGCCGGGTCTTTGGGCACCAGCCAAAAGAAAGCTGATTTTTTCCGCTCTGAAATGCGACGTCCTTCCCGTCATCATACGGTTGGTGGACAAAATCCTGCACCAGTGGAAGAACAAACTCATATATACCCTCGCGCTCCCTCTTTAACATTGAGTGGAGGAAACATGTGAAACACAAAAAAGTTGAATGACCAAAATCCTGCATCACACAGACCAAACATGAGACAACATTGAATTGGGGGGTACGGGGGGTCTGCGCTTTTCGATGACCACATGCGTTGCTGTATTGATGCAGGATTTCGTCCATCAACAGTACTCCTTGGGGGGGTTGTTCATCCAAGCAGACATGAATGTTGTGGTTAGTCGACCGAACATGCAGCACAAGAGTCCTTTTGCAGTTGCGGGGCAGAGAGCATTTCATTGGCCTTTAATTTTGAATGCCAGAATGCAAGAAATTATGCGCATTGCAGTCACAGGGCAAAACGCAGAACCATCTGTGCAAAGCAGTGTCCACATTCGTGTACATGCTGATGGCTCTGCGGGAGCGGTCTGGTGAAAGAAAAAATCTTTAGGCGTCGGAGGAGCATAGTATGCTCCGAAGGAGCTCCCTGCGCCAATGCCACCTGCGCTTGCACAATGAGCGGGCCAAGGTCCTTTTCTTTCACTGTGACAAAGACGGGCGCACTTCCCTGGTAGAGGAGATGGCCTTGGTATTGGCTAGAGTTCTGTGGCCTTGGAAGAGGAAAAGGCTTCCCCTCATACCACAACAACTGTGTGGGCAAAGGTAGGACGCTCTCATCAAAACACCAATCGTCCAGCAAGCAGACCTTCTTGTTCTCCAAGCCAAGGAGTGGGAAAGATCCTCTCTGTGGAGTGGCTTGCACATGCTCAGCGCCATACACTGAGCGAAGTGGCGCCAACAGGAAAGACTTGCCTTCCCCACCAAAACGGCCCATGAGAACAAGCACTGGGATGTCTGCCCTTCGCCCATCTCGCAGCAGTGTCAGGATGTGCTTGCAGAACTCTTCGGTGACAATGCCATTTGAAGACATGGACGCCATGGCTCGTGGAAACCAGAGGCCGTTGCAGATGCATGGAGATGCCGCTGCTGCGTAGAACTGGTCCATCCGGGATTTACCCCGCTGCTCAAGGAAGTCTTCCACCTTCTCCCACGACCATACATCATCGATGAGCCCGGGAAGTTTGGCACGGTGCTTGAATGCAAAGGCAATCAAAGCTGGGGTGGCACTAGTCTTCAGGTATGCCATCAACCTGGCTGCTGCGTTGTTGTCATCTGGCGTGTTTCTGAACCCGTTCTTGACAATCACCGCGTAAAGATCCATCTCCGTAGGCCGTGGCTCAGGCTTGCCTTTGGCGAGCGCATCTTTGACCTTCTTTTCACGTCGGCGTGCCAAAGCCCCAGCGGTCACTGGTTCCTGGGATGCCTCGAACAAAGGTACATGAGCACCGGTCCTGGCCCATGTGCGTGGGTCTGGGTCAAGGTCTGCTTGAGGTTTCCGAGTGGAAGGCAAAAAGCCATAGCGCACTGCAGACCAATACCCGGTGTGACTGCAACTCCAGTGCGTGGCCAAGCCATGCTCCAGATGTAGGGCCCGCTTGTAAGGACTGAACCGGAAGCTCCGAGAGCCTTTCACAGCAACATGCCAATGGTACGGCCCCAGTGCACCAGGTGTTGCGGCATGTCGCTCACGGAAGACTGCGAGACACTCCAGCACCAACGCTGTTTGGCCTTCAGTCTCATCTCGGCTCTCACGGTGGAAGACAGACAGGAAAACCCGCACTATGTCATCGTGCGACCAAGTGGATGGGCATACGTAACCTCGAGCGCCCGAAGCATTCTTCAGAGCAGGGATGGTCACCAAGTACACTGACTTGATGGTGCCAACCACTTCGCCGCACAGGTCTTCCTCTGAAAGCCCACAAAGGTCATGTTCCGGAAAAGGTCCCCGCCGCACAGGCTCCTCAGCGTCTACCACCTCAAAGCCCAGCCATGTCTTGCGGCGGAGACGTCGCGTGGGCAGGCTCAACTCACAAGGCATTTGGGCAAACGTGCTGCACGGAAGGCGCTGTGAAGATGCTTCAAACAAGTGGAAACGACCCCCAATTGCGGAAGAAGACATCCTGTTTTCAGGTGGACACTGAACAGATGCTCCGCGCTGCGCCTTGCACAGTGCACGCACAGTGCACGCCCCAGTGCACGTAGCCAATTCCCTAGAAATAACAGGGTTTGGCGCCAACGGCATCAAAGTACGAAAAGAAATCTAATTTTCGATATTTTTATATTTTCCGAGTTCCAGCGACGATTCCCTGCTAATTTTCATGGTTTTGGGGCCGTGCACTGGGGCCGTGCACTGAGCGTGCACTGGGCGTGCACTGAGCGTGCACTGTGATTTTTGGGCCAGAGGTTCCAGAGCGCAAGCGATTTATTAGTTCAGACTGTGATTTGTGGGACAGAGGTTCTAGAGCGCAAGGGATTTATTAGTTCAGATTGTGGACGTGCCTGTTTTTAGACGTGGTTGATGCGCAGGAGGCTCAAGCGTTCAGACATGCATGTATGCAAAGCGCGCGTGTGCTACTGTCTGTATAAGACGAAACACGCCCACGCGCGCACACGCACACCCAACACCCCATCCTCCCCGGGCTCATTCTGCAACAGTGGCACCCGCCCACGCACAAACATACACACACACACACACCATCCTCGCCAGGCTCATCTTCACCCGTGGCGCATGTTTATGCATCGCTGCAAAGCCTGAACTCAGTCAAAAAGCCTGTTTCACTCCTAGTCGCCGTCTTGTCATGTGAAACTGTGAAACAATCACTGGCCCCCCTCCTCAATGAATCCACCTTTAGCTGCCAGCACGCGCTGGCAACGGCGCTGCATGTCACACATGCTGGTTTCAATGAAAGTAGGAGGCAAATTTTTGGCTGTGCGGCGAAGCCGTGCAGCAAATTGACTTCGGCTTTCCCGTTTTCCCTTCGGCCAATGTTTTTCTTGCCGCCTCATGCGCCGGTTGATCTCAGCCCAAATGGCATAGTCCATGACGTTGAGGTCCGGGCTGCGGCAAGGAATTTCAGGAACATCCATTTTCGCAGCTGTTTTGGCAGCAATACCGCGTTTGGACTTGAAACCGGTGGGATCATTGTCCTCCAAAATACAAAACCTTCTCTTTGCTGGACACGACTTTTTCAAGCCTGCCAGCAAGGCAGTCCCGTACATGGTTTCAGCTGCTTTACCGTTCCAGCGGCTGTTTGGAACTTGGTGCCACATCAGCATCCGGCCTCGGCCAACACCACCCAAAATCAGCAGGCTGCGAGCGCCCGTGTTGTAGTTCAAAGTGCCCTTGGGCTTGACATACCCCGCATCCAATCCTTGCCCAAGCATCCGGTAGGCTCCAAAGGTTGCTCGTTGGGCTGCGTGCACCCGAGCATCAGCCGTCAGCAAAGCTTTAAAGAATTTCCCATCAATGGCGGCATCCAAATGGTGGCTCCACCACCGAGCTGGACGACGATGGTATTTCCGCGCAAAAGCTAGGCGCGCTCTGATGTCTGCAGCAGTCAGAACTGGCTTCTCACGAAGCTTTCTGAAGTAAATACCCTCTTTGTGCAAAGCTCTACTAATGCTTCTCTCTGACACTTTCACCTTGGCAGCTTTTTTCAGATGAGCCACAGTTACAGTGTACCGACAGTCAGCTTTCTGCACCAGCTTGTGGAGAGTGCGCTTCAAAAAAGCAATCTGAGCAGTAGTCAAGCTTTGCGGGCGTCCCTGCCCTTTGCGGGGAACTTGTTTCACCAAAAGACGTGTGATGACCGAGCGGTCCCGCCCGAGCTTGTCAGCAATCTCACCACACGTCTCACCAGCATCGTACCAGACCCTGCACAGCCTGAGCTCCTCAGAGGACATTTTGGTCCATCCACATGGCGGCATGGCCTACTCGTGTCTAGGTATAAGCTCGAAACACTAAAACCGTTCTGAGCAGAGGATACACTCGCCGCGAATCAGGCTCACAGAGTCAAACAAAGCACACAGTTCGACACTTCTGACATTGCTTGACTTCAGCGTCACTGAATACACGTGCAGAAAAACGAACACAAGTCCCACCCCTCCACCCTGCCCCAGAACACACACAAGCATACCCACGACTGGCGCCCACGCGATCCCACTACAGCAAACAGGTGCACGGTTGCATGTTTGTGTGTTTGCTACTTGTGCTGGTGCATGTTTGAGTTGACAGACAGATACAGACAGATTGCTTTGGCCAGACGGTTGGTGGACAAAATCCTGCACCAGTGGAAGAACAAACTCATATATACCCTCGCGCTCCCTCTTTAACATTGAGTGGAGGAAACATGTGAAACACAAAAAAGTTGAATGACCAAAATCCTGCATCACACAGACCAAACATGAGACAACATTGAATTGGGGGGTACGGGGGGTCTGCGCTTTTCGATGACCACATGCGTTGCTGTATTGATGCAGGATTTCGTCCATCAACAGTAGTAAGGGAATAAAAGCAAAAACTCGACCTGAACAACTCTCGGAAGTTCTAACGCAACATCCCCAAACAACATGGACAACATGTCGCACTAAACACAAGCAATAAACCGATAAGCCAGTGTTCACATTTGTTTATAATTGGATAGTCCAATGTTTAAAGCAAGGTGTGTATCGAAATAACATGTTGGTGTCAAAATGTTTTAAAATGTTTTAAATGGTCTATAACCGTTTATAACTTAAATAACGTACAATACTATATATAATATATATTATATATTATACACCATTAAATACATCTCTTTATGATCCAATCTTTGGCTGCGGAACTCGCCCAAATCCTTCCTCCTTCCCAGGTGCAGAGCTGGTCGCACCGGGCGCCGCCTTCTGGGCGCCTGGGCGGCGGATGTAAAGTTACCTGAGTAGTAACAAGTGCATCGCTACTAGCAAGAAGGGCATTACTACTATATAACAAGAAGCTACGAACGTAGCGATGCACTGAGGGAATATATATGGGTGTATATTTGAATAGGGGGGCCTCCAACGCCCACCAATCGGTGTTGGTAGTGGTTTTGGTCTATTTCTCTTCTTGAAGGGGGTGTTTGTAAAGGTCCCCCCTAGTTCAATGATTTTAATAACACGCCCATATGCAATGTAGTGGTTAAAGCACGCAAACAAATATTGCTTCGCAGAGAACCACAAAGAACCCTTAGATTATAGCTTTTCAGGCGTTTGCTGAGGGCTAGATCGGGCGTGTTGGGATGTGACATCGCTCACGTCGAAGCCTTTTTTCCCCTTCCACGCAGAACCTGCTCCGCTTTGGAGGCCGAACCCGGACGTCGCCCCTCCCAACTGTTCTGCTCCGTCGCCCGTCCCGACGTCGCCCGTCAGCCCCATGACTTGAGGTCCAGCTCACCGATTGGGCACTGCTGCCACATTTATTGTGGGGGAACCCCAGACGTTTTGTGCGACCGACCGACCATCTGAACGAAGAACTATGGGTTTCTGCTGGGTTCTGCATGGTTCTGCTAAGCTGTACCCATGCAGTTTCACTGGGCGCCCATGCATCAGTTAATTGAATCTCATTCACATTTAGTCAAACAAGCATCATTTGTAGGGTTTATGGAATTTTTCTGAATGCCCCATGAACGCCTAACTCCTGCGTCTTCGGCAGTCATCAGTAGATGTTTTTGGATTGAAAAAACAGGATTTCAACCACGAAAACCGCCACAGGCACTATGAGAGTGCAAGTCACCTTCTTCAGATGCTCGGATCACTTTTGCTCGGCTGCGGGTGAGGCTGTGAGGCGAGGAAAAATGATTACATGATTACCACATGAGTTTTTGTTTGAAAACTGAAAGTTGTGGGAATTGGACCACTTCAACGTATAAGAGCAGGCCTTCACTGGCAACCCGGCAACTTGTCGTGTCACGCTATCGTTCTAACCTTTGCATTTGTTTCGGGACTTTTGGGGTGTCCACTTCAATGATGATCTTAATGCTGACTGTTGATCCTAGATAGTCAAACACCTACTTAGTACTTTTTATGGTGGAATTACAGTATGCAGGTATACAGTATTTCATTGATTCGATCAACAATCAAGACTACTGAAATGTAGACTCTTGATTTATAACCCCCCGATTTTCCAAGTCAATAGGTGTTTTTGTTTGTTAATCAGTCAAGAGTCTACTTAGCCCCCATGCCAAGGATGCTCTGGAACTTGTCGCTCGAAGAGCTGATGGCAATCAGTGAACGCATGGCCGCGCACTACGCGAAGCTTCTGGCAGCTCGGCTCAGCTTCTGATCGGGAGCAACTCACTCAGTAGAAGGAAGGAGCGCAAAAGGGGTGCCATCAATGGTAGTGCTGATCTGCGCACATACGCTAATCAGGGAAGTGGATGGCACACCTGGAAGACCATCTTTGACCAACCAGGTGGTGAACTCCACTTCCATGTGAATGACTCAGTGCACTGCGTATTGCCTTCACAGAGTTGGCCGGATGGGATTTTTCCACATGATTACCCCTGCTCAGGTTGCGTCCGTGCACTTCTGGCGAGGCCGGAAGAGGGAAGTACCTAGACTCGACTGATACGTCCTGGATTTTGTGAGTTCAAATGCATGAAGTTGTTGCATGTGTTTCTCTCTCAGGATATGCGGTCAGGGCTTAATGAAAAGGTGAAGATACAGAAGGAGCGTGGGACGCCCTTAGTTGCTGAGTTGGTATGGTCTAGGGCTGCAAGTACCTCTTGAGAACGTCTTTCGATGTGTATTTCAAGGGCGTAACTACCTTCTGAGGAGGTTGTTGGAGCCCAAGGAATGTATCAGAATCTTTGTAGTTGACCGGTCAAGAGATGCTGCTGACTGTCTGACTGATTTGAGGGGGCAGACAATCATGCAAACGGAGCAGTGCCACTTGTAGAGGATTCCTGGGTCTTCCAGCACCCTGTGTTCATCTATATATGTTCCACGTTCATGATTGTTAGGAAATGCATGGAAGGGGGCCTTCCCCATTTTGCAGCTTGCCAGGAGTCATCATCAGCTTGGTCGAAGAGAAAGATGCCTCAATGTGGAAGGGCCACTGGGCATCACAGAATGAGCACTCTCTCTCACACTTCCTGGCGGACTCAGGTGAGGGACGGGTGATGGTGCGGTGATGGTTGCTTGACCCATGGCCTTGCCTGGTCCAAGAAGTCTCCCCCAAAACGGACAAAAAATCAGTCGTTTTACGACTCGACGAGGTGTGAAATTCGCATCGTGTTTGCATGTGTCAATTCTTTGCAGGGGGTCTTTTCTGAAAAACCATTCAAAAAACATCAAAAACATATGATCCTATGATATCCTACGTGTTTTCTCAATGTTTTTTCCATGTGTGTACATGTTTTGCCTATCAACCAGGACTTTCCAAAAGTGCCCCAATACTCCAAACGTGACGGCGCGTGAACGAAGACGATGGCCTGGATCCGCGGCGGTCTGCACAGCATGTGTCGATTTAAAGGTTGAGTCCCCGATCCCAATCTGGGTGTCACTATTTAAGGTCTGATCTGAGATCGTGGATATTGTGTTGAACAGAAATACCGAAGGGCTAATCACTTACAGCTTCAGCAGCTGGATTTTCTGTAAATCAATGCTCGCTCTCACGAGGCTAAGCAGCTGGTTGCGATTGAGAGCCGCTGGCGGCGGAAGCCCGCCGAATGCTGCCGTCACTGAGCTTGAGCCATTGCGCTTGGGAAGGCCTTGGGTAGCTGGAAGACACAGAAGACTGAGAAGTCTGAAAGGTATTCATGAGGCCTCATGAGATTAAGAGAAGATCTTGGCTGACGGACTCACAAGAATGAGTTTGTATTTCGTATGCGCATTTAATCACCCATTGATGTGCAATTTGCTTGGTGTACATGCCATTTTGGCATATGTAGGGCACGAACAATGCTTTGCACATGACATGTGGAAACAACCGCCCATGGTTTGACTTGTGTGCTTTAGAACCGTTGCATCTGCCAGTTGTTGCCAAATGTCCTTGGCCAGTGCAGAAGCAGAGCTTAGCCAAAACTCTGCTGATAGCTACCTTGGCACCTATTGGATCCTAATGGCTACTGTAAATCTCTTCGAAGTCCGGCATTTGGTGCCTCTTGATGCATCGCAACACAGGACGTGGTCTCATCGACCAGGGCTTCGAACAGCGGCTGCGGGCTGAGCAACCAGGACGGCCGCCTGTTATGCTCTCCGTGGGCCTCGTCCGCGGTGTCCGCTTCGTTTGACGAAGCCAAGCGAACAGAAGGATGAGCTGGCCATGTCACCAGCAGCCAACAAGGGCTTCAATTTCGGTTCTTGCAGTGTTCGAGCAGTCTTTGGCTCCCCACTTGTTTGGCACACCCAAGGAGCTTGATGATTGAGGCCTTCACGACGATTCTGGCACTGATCAAGTGAAGACTCAAGACTCAAGACCCTGCACCTGCAAGATGCGCCGAGATAAAAGATGTCCCACAGTATTCCCTAACACCCCTCCAGTCCCGTTCTGTGTGAGGGTGTGGGGACACGTAGACAGTCTGAATTCAGTGGGATGAACAATTCAATGAGCAACCTTGGCCCTCGCGCAGAGAATCTCCATCTGGAGCAGAAAAGTCAATGACTGTCCAGGGATCATTATGAGGTTTTCATGTTTTGCTGTCATGTTTGGGAGTATGTTTGGGATATTGTTTATGCATGCATGTTTGGATTGTCTGGAGACCACTATGGTTCTGGGCACGCCTGAATATGTTTGACCCCTTGCACAGCCTCCGGGGCTATGACACTATGTGATCTATGAGCTCTTGCACGTGACTGACATGACCATTCTCCCACCACACGAAGATCAGCCAACATCGACCCAGGCCCGTGCCAAGCCGGAGCTGCGCCGCTCGCGGGCGCAGGCGGGCGTGCTTGAAAGCCCCCAGAAGCACGGACACTGGCGGCGAGCACCCAAGACAAGGGGCTACCGTCCAAAAGACACACATTATAGGAACATGAAAGAGGTTTCTCGGAACGGTACCCCAGCCCTTTTTCAAGCAATATTCATTAAGAAAGGGACGTGTTTGTTTGTGCTGTAATTCATATGTGTGTGTGTGTTTGGTTTATTCTCCAAACTGTCGCGTTGCGCTGCAAAAGTGGGAAGGATTCTAAAAGTTGTGGCGATGTCAACTGTCAACTGTCAACCCCGTCATGTGGAAATTGCACCTGAGACTCGGCACATGTTCATGTTCGCCACCTGAGACGAAGGGCTCCCACCCTGCTTCACCCTCCCACCAGTGTTTGGATGTGTTTGGACCGCATTCCCAAACCCAGCACTTGGAGTTGCCTAGGATCGCATGCAAACCAGCCCCAAAAAGGATTCTGGAGTGCCTACAGGAACTATGTACAATGTAATGTTTTATGTAAATCTAGCATAGGATCTAGATAGGATTATGTGGAGTTTGCTTTATACATATTAATATATATATATATATAGGACACCTTCTCAGGACATATTATATACTTGGCTTCTTACCATCATAGTGTGTGGTTGGTCATGTTTTCCTTTGTTTGAGAATTCCAATATGTAAAAGGTGACCTTACAAGAAACTTTTGTATGTCAGAAGAAAAGCGAAGAGGATATGAGCATCTCAAAAGGTGATAAATGGATCGAAGCAATAGTTGTGATGTTATGTCTTTGTCATAACAAACAAGAAGACAGCAGAGGTTTTCGGCACGTCACTGAGCCACTTGCCTCCATTTTAGATCGAAGCTGCACTTTGTGTTCAGAGTCTTTGACACATTATGAATTCCCTTGGTTAAACTGGAGCTTCTAGCTTGTGTTTCCAAGTTCAATCAGCCAGCTCTAGACTCTAGCTCAAACATGTTGAGTGACACCCGCGATCAAGAAAATTGTATTTTAACTTAAAAGAACATCTCGATGCACATGAACAGCATACAAAAGCATTGTGGCATGGATTTGCCCTATTCCTAGCAAAGCAAGACCATCAAGACTCTTCCTGCCAAGGGAGGATTCCCTGTTCCAATCCTAAGTTAAGAATTCAACCGGGCTTCTACTCTTAGCTGCCTTGACAAGGCATAGAAGCAAAGAATTGAGCACATGACCTTCCTTTAAGGTTGTTGCTTGTAGCAGTTGTGAGACTATGTTGGGCCCCTGATTGACTCACGAAATCCAGCTGGTCTACCTCAGCCAGGAACTTCCTACCCGTCTCGGGCGGCGAGAGGCAGACAGATGGGATGTTCCCGCCGAGGGTAACAAAGGAGAGTCTTATATAGACCCCCAAATAGATAGAAAAGTAGATCCTCACTAAAATGTTTTGGAAACCGTGCCACTGTCTATGTGGGGATCACTATTAGTTCCCTATGTTGCCACTTATACGGGGAATTCACTAGATCCCAAGTCGCCCTCTCGGGCGACTCGACCACATGTCACCACATGTCACTGCGTCGTAAAGGAGGGGACCATGAGCCAGTGAACTTCTTGATGTTTTGCTGGCATATGGCAGATGGCATGAATGCTTAGGAACAGCAGCACGGGATGATGTGGTCGCGTTTGCGTCGTGGAGCTCCAACGAACTCACGATCTTTGTGTAATAATAAGTACTCGTAAGTTAGTTGACCGGATGTAGTTTGCCCTTTTCAGATTCTCCCGACAAGTGCTCCAGAAAGTTTCAGACACCAACGAAGAGACATATATATATATATCTACGCTTCTTTATCTTCTTTAATTATATATATACACACCTAGATCACAGATGAGCTTAATTAGATGGAGCCCGGCTTTCGACCATGGTTTTTGTGGCACTCAAAGCCTGCACTGCATTTTGCATGCTATTTGTTCCGTCTTTCACTTTGGATGACCAGATCATTGGGGACAAGTTCGATCATTGGGTCATCCATACGGAGCCATGCCATCCACTTCCATGATTTCAGGAACTGTAATTATAGTTACAGTTATACTATAACCTTTCTGCTAGCCTTTCATTGAAATTGAACAACGATGAATGGGACACAGCTCCGCAGCAGGTTGGATCTCCTTTGCGAGTGGGAGAGAAGAGGGCAAGCCTGGCCTGGTGCTTGGACCAATACACAGTTTGCTTGAGCATATGTTGACTCTTAGCGGTGCGTCCATGCCATTACATATTCAGTCAAACGTCATAATTAATTACCCGCCGGTCAAAGACCTCATTTTACTGGAGGTGATCATGCAAAGAGACTACTCAAACTACTCAAGGAGGGAAAGCACCAGGTTTTACTGGGTCTTTGAACTTGTGGGGGTTGGTTTGGATGCCAAGCCTGTCAGATTCCGTGCTGATGTATGTGAGTTGCTTCTGGAGATCACACCTAAATCTTTAGGATGGAACTCTTGCCGTGGGCGACCCCCTGTTTCTTGGTTTGGACGCCGCACAAGCGAAACTAGGTTGGCCGTCTCGGGCTTCTGGCCAGTCACTTGCAAAACGTCAGATCAACAAGACTAGACCAGTATTATATAGTAGGTTTGATGACACAAGCTAAGCAGAGAAACAAAGTCTCATTGTATAAAGTCTTCAGTTTCACCTGTAGGACTACACTGTAGGACGCAAGGCATCGCAAGGCCCACCAGGCATGCTTTGTTCCGACCATCGTACTTCCAAAAAGGCGTTGAGGACGTGATTGGTTTCTTTATGTATCTTTGCAAACTAGGTTTCGGATGAATAGGGACAGATTTTGACCAATCAGTTCTGAAGAGGGTTGCAGCGATGGTGATGGCTGCCGATATATCAAGTTGTCGCAAGTACCTGTTCCAAGGCTTTTCTTAGATCACCGTACCCCTAGAACACTGCGGTAAACTACGAATTAAATTTACCGCGATCTTAAAGTATATAGCTTCTTCAAATGTTGTTTCGTTTGCCAGCCTTCGAGGAGTGCTCTAAGAGCACATTATTTGTGTTGAAGAATTGGTAACTCAGAGAGGAATTAATACAATCATAATAAAACGAAACATGGTAACTTGCCATTTGCAGAAAGACATGAAATGTTAGGTTCGTAAACCGCTGAAAAAGCTCACGCATTTTCATGGAGATGTTGCTTGGCTTTGAAAACTCAGGCTGAGCGGCAAGCTGACCGAAGATGGATTGAGGAGTCGTCCAAGCTGTTGGGGCGACGTGTTAGACCTTCTTAGTCTTCATCTTCAACATGTATAATGTAAGGGAAACCTCAGGTAGAAAGTATGAAACATAATCCTGGTGTGAATTTCCACTATGAAATCAAAGGGGCGTGCTGCCTGTTTATAGTTAGAATTCTCCCCGGGATTTGAACTATAAAATTATGATCACTAAATAGGCCTTAAGACTACTTAATTTTTTGGGACAGGATGACTGGTTGTTCAAAAGTGAGATCATGATTTTATAAGAAGCCACGACTTCAAAAAAAGACAAGAATCCCCAAACATTTAGAAGACAAAATGATTCTATAAGGAATAATTCCTGATTGTGAAATATGGTTTTAATGTTATAGTATATTTTTTGCCTGAGATTTTATAGGGGGCCACCTGGAAACTTGTAATACATGTCGATTCTATAGGTGAATTGGCTAGTTCCAAAATCATAAATTAGTTTTATAGTCACATTGATTTTATAGATTGGAAAGTGTCCACTTCCAG